AGAAAACATTGAAATCTTACATTAATATACTTCAATAAAAATAAAAATAAGAACTTTGATATAACCATATTATTAAGTGAGATATTATTAGTAGGAATACAAAAATATTGAAAACTTACATTAATATATCCGTTTATCATTAATAGGCTTCATTAAAGGTAAAGACAAGGTCAATTATAAGAATAAGTGATAATCAATAACTGAAAATAAAAACTCTAATATAACCGTATTGTTAAGTGAGACATTTGCGTCAACATTTAGCTTGCATTAGTGTACGCTAGTTTCTTATTTCAGTAAGATAGGTGAACTTTGTATAAATGAGTTATCATAGATTGCCCTTTATTATCATTAATAGAAAAGGTTATATTATAAAAAATGTGAAAACAAATATAAAGTTGATTTTTTTACCCACTATTGCAAAAAAAAGCACATAAAGTTACGAAAAAATACGTAAACAAAAAAATATCATTATAAATAGTAAATATGTTATACGAATTTATACCATATATTGGGGGGACATGTTCGATCACGTGACTATGTAAAAATTGTTTTTTCCAAATAAAACTTTTCGCTAAATACATAGCCTTTTAAATCACTTATAGTAAATGTATTTTGGTCGGTTCTGCAAGTTTACTTAGAGCGCAAAATGAGGTTACGAATGCTGTTTTTGATTAATTTGACTTTTTTCATTTTTATTTATTTTTGGAAATGATCAGCAAATCTCAAATGCAGAATTTCAACGATTTTCCATACTTCACCACAGATATTTTATGACTTTTGTCAAAAAGTTTCGCAATCTATATCAGAAAGTTTTAATAATATCCAGGATGGTCATATTAAAATCGATCACTTTGATATATGTCTGTAAACTTTTGAAATTTTTTATTTTAGTAAAGTGAGATTAAAGCAATAGTAAATAACAGAAAAAGAAAAAAAAATTATTTGTAAAATTTTATTTAAAAAAAATTCGTAAAAAAATGTTTAAAAAAAAATTTGTATGAATCTAATAGTTTTCCGTTGCTAGTGATAGTCTAGTTATGACATATTAATACTGTGTCAATTATAATTAGCGAATGATGATCCCATCGATCATGGATCTCAACTTTCTCTAATTTCTATGATTTATATCATTTCTCTAATTTCTTAACGATCTTAGCGATCTATAATTTCTTATATATCTTATATATCTTATATATCTTTAATTTCTTATTTATATTATATTTCTTATTTTTCTTTACTATATTAAATATCTATTTCATATTGATGTATTTTATATAAATATCTTGTATTTCTGCCCTAATAAACGGCAGAGTCACTATCAATTCTTATCTAATTACTTATACTTCATAATTATATTTAAAAAATTAATAGTAATAAGATTAATTTTTTAATTTTTTTTTTAATCATAAAAAGATTTTAAAATTTATTATAAAATTTTATTTTAATAATTTTCTAATATAATTTTAATTAAATTTGTATAAATTATCTTTAAATAAATTTAACTATTTAAATATTTTATAATAAAAGAAAAAATGGTGAAATCCTATTTCTGAATCTAATTTATTAAAAAAAAGGTTTTATATTTAACATATAAATAATTTTTTATTATAAAGTATTTATTTAATAATTTAAATTATTTAAAATAGAATAATAATTTTTATATATATTATAATTATATATAAATAAAATAATATAAAAATTTATAATAAAATAATGATTTTTACATTTTTAAAATTTTGTTTAAATATAAAATAATCAATTAAACAAATTTATATTATTATTTTTTATATTATATACTAAGCTTCTAATTCAAAAATATTTACTAAATTAATATAAACTTTATTATAAATTATAAAAAATAAATAATAATAATATAATAAATTTTAAATAAGTTATTTACTATTAACAAATTGCCTATAAAATATTCATAAAAATTAATTTAATCTATTAATAAAAAAATTTCTATCTTACATGTATTAGGATAAAACTTCAAAGAGATAAATACAAAATAATACCGTAATTTCAAGAAATTGAAGCACAATTTTATAGACAAAGATCAACTTGTAGCTCTCCTCCCGACTTCCGAGTTAATATCATTTCTTTCTTCAGACGAAATCACAAATATTTTAAAAAATATTTCAAACGATGTCCCTCTCCAAAACCCAGTTTTTTTTTGTAAACTCCCAATATATCTATTAAAATAACATTACTATCAAAAATTATATTCTTTGCTTCTTTTGACAATCGCATCTCGTTTCTCAATCCCATTTTAAATAAATTAAATATAATAGGATTATGGTTTGCATCTTGAAAACAGGAAAGGAAATAAAAATCTCAAAACATTTACCTCTAATTGAAGCATCAAAACCTCAAAATGTGCCCCAAAAATAAGTATAAAAATTGATATTTTGTTCAGACAGGAAAATTCTTTCTTTTATTTGTTTTATGAAATTTTTTTTTTTTTTTTTTTTTTGACAATTACTTTTTCATGTCGGACACTGTTTCCTACTTTTTTTTTGATCGAATTTACATTTTTTCGTTTTTTTTTTGCTCACGCGTTTAATTTATTATCACAGAGTTTTTGATTCGGTGCATGACACCTTATATATATATATCAAAACATATAATAAAAATAATTTAAATTTTTTAACCTTTAAAAAAAGTTTTTTTTTCCTTCAAATAAATACAAAATAGTCTATAATACATAAACTTACAAAACATTACATTATCATAATTCACTAAGCGTTTATTCATCCATACACCTTTGACCTTTTCAACATCATTTTGGATTATCAGTCAAAGAAGCAGTTACCGCATCACTATTATCCCCTTCTCGTCTGTCAGATTCTGAATTGGATTGCCTAGAAGTAGGTTCTGATGATTCGGAATTCATACTTAATTCTTTGGGAGGGTGATCATTATTAGCATCTCTTCCAGAAGAATGAGGCTCTAAAGAAGGTCGTCTTGATATAGGCACAGAGTTATCATTATCATTATTATTATTCTCAATGGTGACACCTTCTCTAACCTCATCTAAAGTAGTAGCATCATGCCCCGTATTAGAATCCCCATCTCTTGTAACTGAATCATAGGGAGGAGGCAATTCACCAGGAGGGAAAAATGCTTGAGAGATTGAAGTAACGATTACATTGGAAGTAGCAGGATGAACTTCAGCCACAACTGTATATGGAGGTAAAGTTCTAACGCTGTTTGTTCTGTCTAAAGAACCACCCCGATTAAGTAATATAGAGGCACCTCTTCTTACCCTACCACCTAAAGTGATGATTTCACCAGTTTCAGGATCAATTGCCCTACGTGAATAGTTATTGTCATTATTGTCGTCCTGTTTTCTAAATAATCTACGAGCGTAACCACAAATTATCAGTCCGAATAGTATTATTAATAGAATTATAACCACAACGAGCATTGAATCCGAGTTTCTACCATTTTTTTGCTTGTTATCCGTATGATGATGTTCATTATTTATTATTACATTTAAATCTCTATTCCCCTTTAATTGATCATATGCTGCAAAATTATCGAATCTACATGTCGTTCCTGTGAACGTCGTATTTCCATCATTCGGTTGAGTCGCTATTGCATCACCGCACAATTGAGATAAACATTGATTTGATGAAAAACAACTTGAGTCTTCTGTATCAAATTTTTTCTTGCACAGACCATTATCACAATATAATTGTTGTAAAAATATTTTATTCGATGATTCTAATTCATATGGTAAAACGTAATTACAACTACCAATATAATCTAATGGTCTAACAAAACTACCCGAAGGAAGTGTAATATTATTAATATTATTATAATTATCATTATAATTAGCCCAATTTTGATAAATAAATGTCAATAACCAATTAATATTTTCATTAGTCCATGAAGAATAATCAAATAATATACATCGATCATCCTCCTTTTTCCCAATTTTTCTTCCCCTATATTCTATGGGTGGAAACACCATCGGGTTTAATCTCCAGGTACCCCTCTTGCCACATTTCGGACCTTGCCGTTTCGCAAAACATTGTTGTGGATCTTCGCAAGTGACTGCACCACAGCTAATTCCAGTAGCAGGAGGAGTAACGTCGACAGGAATAGGGGTTGGTGTAATTGAAGTGGTAGGTGTTGACATACCTCTCTAAAAAAATTTTATTACCCTATTATTTATGGAGAAAGTCAAAATGGTTTGGAAGGAAGAAAAAAAAAAGGTTTAACGGAAGATATCGCTTTAATAAAAGCCAGCAGATCACTTTCCTTTTTAAGGAGACGTTTCATATACCTGAAAAAAAACGTTGGAATATAAATTTTTTTTTTAAGGAAATAATTAAATAATAAAAAATTTATTTTTAGCCTCCCGGCCAAAATTTAAATATTTGGAAAATTTTATTTGTGAAAAACGCGATTTAAAATAGTGAGTTCTAACCCCCGTTATTGCTATAGATAAACCAACCCTTCATGCGCGTCAAAAGGACAGATCTACCTTGCATTTTCATCAAAAAAGCTTGGCGATGATTCAAAATTACGCAAACAAATTACGAACAAAACGGAGTTTTAATGTCTAAATTCTCTAAGAAGTTTGAGATGTTTTTAAATTTGTAACACATTATTATTAAAGTCCCTTCCTATTACGAATGTACCCTTATTTCACGCCACATTGTATTTTGATCAATCTTGAAACCTATTTACTAAGCCTTGTCAATTTATTCCAAATTTCTCGTTTAGATTCATGAAATTAAACTGCTTTTCTTTATTTGCAGTCAGATAAATAGTAAAATAACATGAGAGATATCATTTTCAAGTCATGTGAAAATTGGAAAAAATTCGCTTATTTTGAATTTTGGGTATTTTATAAATAATTGAAGGCTGAATTTCAGTCAAACAACCCTTAATAATAGTGCTGATTTGTTTACGTCTGACGTTTGTTTCAGCATTAAAAAAAATAAATAAATGCTTGGATCTTTTGGTTCATGTACTACATACAAACCAATCAACGGACATTTTATTCGTAATTACTTATTTTGAAAAAATAATGCGATAATGTATGCGTACCCACTTAGCCATATCAGGGTAAGAGTAAAATCAATAAATCTAGAAGGGTAGTTACATTACATAATATTATTTATTTTTGTTACACTATTGCAAAGAGAACGCAATAGTTGTACCTGCTTTCTCTTGATTATTTTTTTTTCAAACAAAAACTACAAACTTAAAGCGTGTCTTTCAAATAAATATAAAACATATTACTGCAATTCGTGAAAAATCGCGTTGTTATCGAATGCAATAATCTACATTTAAATTATTTATATTTGACCTCGAGATATTTTTGTAGTATAAAAATAGGCATATATAGTAATATTTCGCTATCATTTGTCCAATCAACAAACATTTGACCAAATCTAATTGTCATCTAAAGCTAATTTAATTTGCAATTGCGCGATAATTTTTAAAAATAAATTTATCACAATATTTTGCTCGTTGGGGTTGGTAAGCATTCCATTCGGCGCTTTTAAAACTATTGATGTCTTATATATAATTTACTTTTGCGTATTTAAGATTTTATATACTTGCTTTTATTAACTTTGATGTTAATATTACTCTCATGAAATCTCAATCATATGACGCAACATTCAAGTTAAATATTTTGTAAATCAAGCTTTTGGTATTTATCAGACGTCGGGCATCTCTTGGCCGGTATCAATTTGGGTCATATCCATAATCTTATCATTATGTATTAACATTTCCTTTTACTTTCTTGTTAATAGTAATGTAAACTGTTGGTAAGTTTCAGTTCATCCGTGGTAAATTTATTATTAAAACAAATTGCAAAGTGAAATGACCTTTTTACGTGGAGCAGCACAGCAAACGCTAATTGATAATGTCCACAAATTCAGTAAAGTGACGGTTATTTATTTAATTATTTTCAAATGGCCTAAATAGGGAACTAACTAGTGTCCCCGTTTTTGGTTATGCATACAGTATGTTGTGACAGATATCTTTATCAATCTTACTATTAAAAAAAAGTCATTGTTCTCAGCCGTACTTTTGTTTTATTTTATAGATTCCTTGATTGTGGATAATATTTATTTTCTTCCACACTTTCTTTTTCTATATTTGGTAATAATAAGTCCGAAGAAATACTTTTTCGGAGAGCGCATTTATAAATTTGATTGAATATAAGCAATGGTTAAAATCAAGTTAAAATAAAGCGAATTAATGCATCCGCAAATCAACTGTAAAACGTATCAAATAAAAGAAATAAATAAATTCAAAAAGTTACATCAATGTTATGAGTCGGAGTTGATTAATCAACTGTTAAATGATAAAGATTTTTCTTGAATTAATTTGAATTGACATTCAAAACTCACGGTGACATCACTTGAACTTGTGTACTTTATTATGGACCATATTGGGAAAGTGGTTTTACTTCAAGTGAAAAGAAATCTTGATTTATTTATTAATTAATTATGAGACTTACTTTGAATAACTTTTTTGTGCTAGAAACTATTAATGATTGTTTATTTAAAATGAAGGTCATATTGACAATAGAAAGGGGGGAAACTGCCGGGAAAAATAAAAAATGAGTTAATGCCTAAAAATCATATTTAGTTTCCCCTTTTATATTGTCAAACATATATTAATTTTTTTTATCCCGAACCCTCGAAAAGAGAAAATTTGCAAATAACCCTCAATGCTCTCATCCCATGTGTTCGGTGTCTTTTTTTGATAGTGATTGATAACCATTATACAATTATTTTTATTAAATGAAATTCCTTATAGCCAATAATTGCAAACCCTTTGTTTTCATTTTTTTTTTTTTTGTACGAGCGATCAGTATCAATACAATTATTATTCCATAATACATTAGACCGCAGGGTTCATGAAAAGTAAAAGGGAAGAATATTAATATGATTGATATTTTTAAATGGAAAATTAATTTTTTATTTACTTATTTGAGATTCGTAAGAATAATTACGCCCGCCATAAATGGGAAACCACATTTGAAATCCCGATTAGGTTTCTTTTACAGAACAAATCTTTTTTTTCCCGTTCACAAGGAATGTATATTATTAATTTATGAAAACCTTTTATCTGTTGTTATTGATGAGATATATCATTAAGATGAATCATTTTTATTTTACAAATGTATTTGGTAACTTCATTCAATCAACGCAAGGTATCAATCACATTACATAGCTTCATTGATGATTGAATGACTTCATTTTTTAATGAAAACGATTTTTTTTTTTTTGGAGACAATAATTTATTTTTGTTTATTTGTTATAATTGGTCCTTTTTTTTTAATTTATTTTAAAGAAATTTTTTTTTCGAGGTTAAAATTATAAAAAACATTCCATTACAGCAAATTTCATAATTCGTTGACCACTCCTAAAAATTTATTTTTAATGTCTGAATTCAGACATTTCATACATTGTGATTTATACAACTGATTATAATATAAACTATAAATACCATTTATTGTGAAACCATTTATATTTAAATTTCATTTTTTTTATTTTACATGATTTCATAAAAAAAATTATTAGCCAGAAATTCTCATGCATAAGTAAAGAATTTATATATAATAAATTAATTTTAAAGATTCAATTATACAAAAATTTTAATGTATGAATATCTGAATTCAGACAATGGAAACAAAAGATCAAAACTAAATTGTATATATTTGATGATAATAGTTTACAACATAGTTATAGTTATGAGCATTTTTATGATTAAAAACGAATGTGAATGTAAGCAGAAGGTTTATGTATTTAATAAACTTTATTAATAAAACCGAATTCTTCAATAAATACAACGTAAATAAGGTATTTCTTCAAACGTACGATCAGATACTGTACGTTTTGAAATGCGAAAAGGAATTTCTATACTAAATGTTGATCAACACTATCGCTAAAGTGAAATTCCACTATTTATATACCCGAAATTTAGCCACGAAACAGAGGGCAATCGATCTACAAAGTCTAACCAAATGCCGATAAACTAAATAAACTTGAACAATTTTGGGACACAATTCACCGAAAATAATAAAACCTAATCTTATTATTATTAGTAATCGTAACAGCATATCATAAAAGGATTTTCCTTACATCAAGACATTGTGCGGTAATGGTATGATATAAAAAAAAAAAATGCTTGACAAAACATTCATTTTGGTCCCTTAGATCAGAAAAACTTCTAACCAAATCACTAGTACGATGGAAATGGATGCAAAGTTTCTGATATTCGGTCCATGTATCCACAAGAAACTTACCCAATGAATTTGTAAATTTCAGGTTTGAGGTACTAGAAGCAAAAATGAATCCTTTTCACAAATTCTCTGTTTTCGTAATAAATTCTTTTTAATTATTTTTAGGTCCAAGAAAATATTCATTTTCTACTGCAAATTAATTTTTCAACTTTAAAAGTTATGCGGAATAACTCCTACCTCTGATACCATTACTCCAGGAGAGTAGCATCGTATAGGCATCCGGGTTAATACAAGTTTTGATCACTACCTGATTAGTGACTCGAATGGAATATATTATGTATTAACTTTAATCTAATTTTATCAACCGATAAAATTAATATTTAATAAACAAATAATTAAAGAGCCACTACCACCCAAGCAGGTAGACAAAAAAAATTATACAAGTTTAACATATCAAAGACGTAAGGAAGTTTAACATGAGGTAATCATTTAATATTCAAACCAGATTAACACGAGTTTAAACAAACTTTTATATAGTTTTCTGCAGATCCTGGTTGTCGATACTTGATTTTAATTATTAAGGCATTTTTTGGTATGATTATAGAAAGTACCGTTCCTATATCAGATATATAAAGACTTTCTATTACAGAACGGGTGTACTGCGCCATACAAATTCATAAGTCAATAAATCACGTGTTAACATTATATTATCCAGTGATTTTCGAGAAATTATTTATTAGAATATAAAAAATTATTATTGCTTAGAAATGTTAAGGCGGAATTCGAAATTATATGGGTAAAATTTATAGCTAATTGATCAGAGAGAGATAATTAATATTACAAGAAATAATGCTTAGTTCCGAGTTTCTAAGAACTATTTCGTTGGAATGGTGGGAGACAAATTAGTTGAGCAAGTTCGCGATTTTATTTTTGTAAATTGATAAGGTTTAGCAAATTAAAGTTGTTTTGCCCTGAATGAGCTTTTAATAATATAATTCAAATCAGACGCAAACAGCTTCATTTTTCATAACAATAATAGTTGGACTTACAAAAAAGCTGAGTCATCGGACTATAAATGACGTATTTTTTATAAATAAATAAGATTCTTGCAATTGGTAAATCTTGAGTTTGACTTATCTTGAGCGTAATAAGTCAATTAAGTGCTGAATTTACGAACGATGAGATTGCAATCTGAAACTGGAGGTGGATAAGATATTCCAAATATATATAATTCACTTTAATATTTATACGGTCTAGAAATTTTATAATTATATTATTATAATTAAAAGACTTTAAATGTTATAATAAATATGCACCTTTTTTTTATTAAAAAAAGTTAGATTATTTATATGATTATAAATAAAATTTCAATTCTGATTTTATTAGTATAGATTAGTTTAATTAGTTTAATTAAAAGAGAAAGAAATAGAAGATTGTTAAAATCTAATTTATTTATACCAATAAAAAAAAAAAGAAAATATTTACAAGTAAAAGTAAATTGTCAATAATGTAAATCCTGTTATAGATCAAGACATTTGATGCTTAGTTGTTTTAAAGATAATAATAATATTTATTTTTTAATGAATTGATATTAAACAAATAATTATTCTGTTACTTTTAATTCAGAAGATTATAAAATTTAAAAAAGGAATCAGATCAAATAACAGATAAAATAACTATCAAGTCATATAATCATATGGGATCTTTGCAATAAAAAGGGGAAAACTGCTGGGAAAAATCAATATTACTTTTATATAACAAATATGATTTTCAGGCTAAAACTTAACTTATTTTTATTTTTTTGATAATTTTTATTACAAATAGAATTAGTTTATTCCTAGAAAAGATGGTCTTCAAACTAGTTAATAGACTGGTCTGAACTGATTATTAAATCTATTTCTCAACAATAAGTTTTAAAACACAAATTTCAGTTTATGTTCCAAAATGATCAAATATATTTAATGCAATTAACCTTGTCAAAAACTTGAATAAAAAAATTAAAAAAAGATTTTGTTAGAATATAAATAAACATTTACAGTCAGACCTCTCTAAATGCATCCTCTATAAATGCACACCCTTTTTAAATGCACACAATATTCTGGTTCCAAGCTTGGGACTTAGAGGTTAAATGCACCCTCCAAGTTCTGCATGTGTAAGAAAATTTTCGGTCCTTTGATATGACAATCCAATCTCTAAATGCACGTCACATGACTATTTTATAAAATAATAGGATCCGTTGAAAATTTGATGTAAAAAAAAAATTTTTTAATTTTATTTTTTAAATCAATCAATATAACTAACAACTAAATCACTTACCTTTTGTAACTACCGAATTCTTCAAGTATTATTCATTCAGAAGTAAGTCCTATGATATTTTTTATATTTTTATATTTTTATTTTTTAATCAATCAAACAAACAATTAAATTACTTACCTTCTTGTAGCTACTGGATTCTTCAAGCATTAGATCGTTCAGAGGTAAGTCCTAAAAAAAAATATTTTTTATTTTTTTATTTTTTATTTTTTTTATCAATCAATTAAACAATTAAATCACTTACTTACTCATAGTTACCAGATTCTTCAAGACATGGATCATTCAGAAGTAAGTTTATGAAGAGTAATTTTTAATATTAATTTTATTTTAATTGATCAATTATACTAACAATTAAATCACTTACCTACTTGTAACTACTGGATCTTCAAGGCTTAGATCATTCAGAAGTAAGTCTATGAAAAAAAAATATATATTTTATATTTAATATTAATTTTTTTTAATTGATCAATTATACTAACAATTAATTACTTACCTTTTTGTAGCTACTGGATTCTCAAGTATTGAATTGTTTGAAGGTGAGTGCTATGAAAAAATATTTTAATATTTTTTTATTTTTTAATCAATCAAAAAATCTAACATTAGATTACTTACCTTCTTGTAGCTACCAGATTCTCAAGCATTGGATCGTTCGAAGGTGAGTGCTATGAAAAAAAATATTTTAATATTTTTTTTTAATCAATCAAAAAACTAACATTATATTACTTACTTTCTTGTAGCTACCGGATTCTTTAAGGCTTATATTGTTTGAAGTTAAGTGCTCTGAAAAAAAATATTTATTATTATTTTTTTTTTTAATCAATCAAAAAAACTAATATTAAATTAATTACTTACCTTTTTGTAGCTACCGGGTTCTCAAGCATTGGATCGTTCAGAGGTGAGTTTTATAAAAAGAATTTTTAACATTAAATATTCTTTAAAAAGAATTAACTAATTACTATTACTTATCTTTATGTAGATACTGAAAAATTAGGATGATTAACTTTGGCATTATCATAATCACCAAGATATAGAATAATTAGTTTTTATATAATATAAATAAATTTTAAATACAGTATTGTAAATAAAGAATTATTTTGATATATAAAAAAATATCAATGTTTTATTAATATTATAAATTTATGCATATAACAATCTAAAATAAAATAAAAAAAAGTTATAAATAAATTGAATTAAATTATAATACTAGAAGGCCTATTATAATAAACCTTCTTTGATATTAGCAGTAAATATAGTATTGCAAAACTTGTGACACACGGACTTGCAGCACATAGAATTTGCAACACTTGATACTTGCAGATATTAAACTTTTGTATATTATAAAAATTTGCCCATTTACAAATATAAATACACAGCATTCTTAATTAATAAATCTTATATTCATGCAATATACCTTCAAAGAAAATTACACTTACTGACAGTAATGGCTTTGGACAATATCCAATTGGCACAATTTGGATTATTGGAATTGGACTAATTGGACTAGTCCACTCCAAGTCTAATTGCATTTAGACATTAATAGCATTTGGACTAAGTCCACATTATCCAATATTTTTTGGATTATGTTCAATAGTTTTTTGTAAAAAATGCAAGTAAACTGTGCCAAATCATCATTTAAAAATTATTGCAGCACGTCTTTCACATGTTATGTGTTATACAAATGATTTACACTTTTTTTTAGCAAGTAACTAATCCTTTTATATAGTCTGTGCATATATGTAATTAATAAAAAAAAATGTGTCCGCATATTTAAACCTAAAAATTTGACTTTTTTGCATTTTTTTTAAAAAAAATATATAATCTTTTAAATTTAACAATTCGTAAAAAAAGGTTTAAAATAATCATAAAACCTTTACAGTTTTTTTTAATATTATTGAGCAGTATTTTGTAATAATGTATCACAAATTATTTTATAATTAAAATCCTAATGCACCAATCAAGAATTTAATGATTTTTTTATAAAATTGTTAATAAAATGTGAATAATAGATCTTCACGATCTTACCTCTCATTTTTAACAAAAATTTTATCACATAATAGATCATCGGCAACATTTTTTAACATCATATATTGTAGTTCTTCACGAAAGAGCAAATAAAAGCAATAAGTATGCTATGTGTTATACTTGCATTAATGTACTTAGAAGAGAAGAAGCATATAAGAATAAATTTACAAACACAAAAAAAGAATGTATACGTTATTTTCGAAGCTATTCAAGTTTTGCAGCTACATATACATCTGAACAGATAAATGAATTGCTTGATAAAGCTAAAAAAGATAGAGTTAAGTCTAATAAGCCAGTAAAAAAATGATCACATATCATTTTAGATAATTTATCTAGTGATGAAGATTCAGATTTTGAAATAGATATTCTCAATAATCAATCATCTGAGTATGAAGAAGAGATTGTTATTCCCATTCAAGAAAACACTTTAGACAACTATATTTTTCATCCATTAATAACTTCTCAAATATGCAAACTTGAAGAATTTTTATTAGAAATAACAGTTTCATGTAGTTGGACGTTTCAATGGATAGAAAATAATGTGGTAAAAAGATTCTTTTATTGGTTAAATCCAATGATCACTTTGCCATCACGAAAAGTATTAGGAGGATGAATTCTTAAAGAAGCAACTGAGCGGGTATTAACAAATTTACTTGATAATGCAAAAAATGATCAATTAGATATAACCCTAGCTTTTGATGGATGGAAAAATGTTTCTCGACAACATCTTCTTGGTGTTATCTTGATTACTTCCTTTAGTGAAATAGTTGTTTGAAAAGCAGTTGATTATGAAGGAAAAAGAGAACTGGAGATGATGTTATACAAACTACAGAAAAGCTTTTTGCTAAACTTCAACAAATGAATATCAATGTTAATGGTTTAATTACAGATTCTGCTTCAGAAAATGCTGCAGCACAGTGGATTAAATACATTTATTATTTATTTTATTTATTTTGAATATAATTAATAGCAAACATTCTAATTATTTATAATTTGATAATAGTAAACATTTTACAGATTTTATATCGTGAAAAATTATTTTTACCCTGCTTTGCATATCAGGTAAACCTTTGTGTAGGAGATATCTTTAAAGAATCAAGTGCTATTACTACTTTAGCTGAACAAGCAGTTGCAATAGTTAGTTTTTTTAATTGATCAAAGGTATGGATTGGAAAATTGCATGAAGAGCAAGCTGCAATATATAAAAACAAATACTATGCATTAATTGTTCCTAATGAAACTCGTTAGAATTCACATTATCATTGTTTAGCAAGCTTATTAAGAATAAAAGCCACTCTTAAAGTATTTATCAATTTTATTTTATTCAATTTATTTTTTATATGACTGACTTATTTTTTAATTAATTTTTAGAACTTAGCAATTAAAATTGAAGAACAAATTGCAGATGATCTTTATGATTTTCCTAATGAATATCTTAAATGTATTTCTAATAATAATTGGTGAAAAAGCCTTAAACAGTTAGAAATGATTATGCTTCCTTATTGTGTTGCATTAAATCAATTACAATGATATAATTCTCGATTACATGAAGTACTTTATAGTTTTGGAAATATAGTTACAGTTTTACGATTACTTACTAATCAAAGTTTAAGTAAAAAACTTTTTAAAAAACTAGAAAAAAGATGGGCAAATTGGAAGCAACCACTCTTGCTCTTATCATTTTTACTTCATCCTAAATATTGTACAAATAAATTCAATCCTGTAATTGAAAATCTTTCTTTTTCTCATCTTGGTCGATGGATTACTTATTACTATTGTGCCTGGTTTAATGAAGAACTAACAGTATTACTAGTTGAATTGGAAGTATATAGGAAAAAAAATATCCATATAATGATACTACTGCAAACCAATTTAATCATGATATTCTTGGATATTGGAATTATGTACACAGATATTCAAAAGAGTTTTATAGAGTAGCAGAACGAATTTATTCAATTGCAGTAACAACAGCATCTTTAGAAAGACAGTTTTCTATAATAGGATGGTTGCATTCAAAACGAAAAAATCGATTAAAGGTAAAATTTTATTTATTTTATTTTTATTTTTATGAATTCTATAAAAATAGTAGTAAAAAATAGTAGTAAAATATTTTTTATTAAATTAGGCTGGTGTTAGTTTCTTGCATTATATATTAATAAGTTATTATTTAATATTAGTCTGAAAAGGTACTCAATATAACACAGATACGAGCTTCTATACAACAAAAACTAAAATTTAAAGAAATTGATAAAGAGGCATGTAAGTTTAAAGCTGTGAATATATTATTACCCATATTAAATGAAGCTGATAATGATGGATACGGTATACTTGATATATCGGATAGTGAATCGTCTGATAAAGATGATAATATAAATCAAAGTACTGGTAATATACAAACAGTAAATGATTGGTGAGGTGTATTTTCAAAATGGATAAATATGCTAGAGAATGATTCAGATTCAGAAGAACTGGAAAATAATGATATTGATTTCGATTATGAAGATGATATTACTATAATTAATCTTTCTAATTTGCCTCATCCTGCTATAGACAGAAATGCTAAATGGAAACTTCAAGATATTTTCATTGAAAAGTTGAAAGAGCCTAGCTATTTGACAGATTTTATCAATGCAAATCATTAAATAATCAATTTATAGCTTAATTGTTAGTATTAGTAATATATATCTAAACTCATAATAACAAATAATAAAGATAATAAATATGCTGTATAAAAGTAATTGTATTTAAATAACTTTGAATTAAACAATTAAATATAAATCAAACAGTTGGAACTGAATATAAGTCCAATAGTTTAATTGAATTTGGAACTGGAATAGACAAAGTCTAATAGTCTAATAGTCCAATTGTCCAATTGTCCAATAGTCCAAAAGACCATCACTGCTTACTGATGCCAAAAAACATGAATTCTGTCTTTATGCTCATGATAATAAAAGAGCTCAAGCTCAGTATGTATATTGGATTGAAGAAAAATGGGAAGTTAAAATTCATGAATCTACTGTTACAAGAATTTTACAAAGTAGTGACAAACGACTTACCAGTGAAGTTGCCAATCCAGAAGCAAAAAGACACCGGTCTGTTACTGTTCCAGAACTTGAACTAGCATTTAAAAAATTTGTGCTATGTTATCAGCATCAAACTATATTAAGTGATAATATGCTAATTGAAAAGGCTAAGTTGCTTGCTAGTGGATTAGGAGTTTCAGAAGGCATATTGCAATTTTCTTCCAGTTGGCTTCATAAATTTAAAAATCGTAATGGAATTCATCAAGAGAAACTTTATGAAGAAGCCGATTCTGCTAACAATGCTGCTATTTTTGAAAATTTACTATTGTTACGTGAAAAATGTGCAAATTATTCTTTTGAAAGAATATATAATATGGATGAGACTAGGCTCTTTTACCGATTAGAACCAGATTAAATCTTAGCTACAAAACGTCTTTCTGGACATAAAAAAATAAAGAACATATTACCATTACATTATGTGCAAATTCAGATGGATCACATAAATTAAACCCTTGATAATTGGAAAATGTGCAAAACCACGATGTTTTAAGAATATAAATATTTCAAACCTGCCAATAATTTATCAATATAATTTTAAAGCTTAGATGTTATTGACTACCTTTCAAGAGTAGCTTCAAAATTTTGACTTACAAATGTCTAGGAAATATAATAATCAGCGTGTATTATTATTTCTTGATAATTGTTTATGTCACAAAATAGAAGGATTAGTTCTTTTACATGTTGATATTATTTTTTTTACCTCCAAATACAATGTCAAAACTTCAACCAATAGATGCTGAAATTATTATGTCATTTAAAAATAATTATCGTTGTCATCAAATTCAATGGATGTTAGAACAAATTGAAACTGGTAAATCTATACAAAATTTGAAAATGAATATTTTAAAAGGAATTCAATATTCTATTCAAGCCTGGGATGAAGTTAAAGCTAAAACAATTCGTAATTGCTGGTATCATACTAAAATTTTTCCTATTAATGAAAGTATTGAAGGAAATATTAAAAACTTAGAAAATATTCAAGAAAATGATTTACCAACCAAAGAACTTTCTGAAGAACTTGAAGCTCTTAATTTTTCTGATGGTATGAAAGTAGAAGAATTTTTAAAATATCTCTGATGAAAATATTATCTATGAAATTTTAGATGATAATAATATTATCACAAAACTTGTAGATACATTTAAAAAAATAATTGATGAAAGTTTAGATAATGATGATGATAGCTTCGAAATTGAACCTGTTAGTATAAATATAATATCAAATAGTTTGGAGAATATTCGTGCATTTTTACTTCAATAAGAAGGTAGTATTGAATATTTTAAATCAATAAATACTTTAGAAAAATTTATTAAAGAAAAAAAGAAAAGTTTAATGAAACAAATTACTCTAGAAAATTTTTTTAATAAATAGAAAGATATATTATTTAATGCAACTTGAAAATTAAATCCTTTTAGGTAGACCTTACTAATTTTATTTATTATACTAATGTAAGATCTCTGATACATATAAATAAAATTAAATTATAGTTATTAAATTATAAAAATTGTTAAAATGTATATTTTCTATTAATACATACCTCTTTAAATGCACTCTTTTACTCAGTCTCGAAGGGATGCATTTAGAGAGGTTTGACTGTATATATATAATTATCAAAAACACATGCACTGTCAAATTAAAATAAAGCCTTATTCTCACATAGTTAGCTACTCCAACACTTAAATAAAGACTTTATGCGATACTAAAATAATCACATTAAATGAAGCATATACTATAGCCTAACTACCTTTCACACTGCTGAGGAAAAATCCTGTGAGTGAGCTAATAGGATATTTAGACTATCATACTCTCTTCCTCAAAATGGTATCAGTCTGCATTATTCATCACTCAAATAAATTCTCTTTTTACTTTCTTTAGAAATATCTTACCTCTGGTAAAATTTCAAGAAGAGTAGTATAGCGTAAGGAATCTTGATCATATTGATTTTTCACAAATGCAACAGCCCGCTCGATAACACTTTTCAGCTCATTTTGAAATATCCAGAGATTGTCTTTGATTTCTTGATAGATAACAGACCCAGCGGTAATGTCCTCTTCCTCAGCATTTAACAAGAAATTGTAAATTTTAGTATATAAATTGGTAGGCATAGTAAAATTAAAAGAAGTTATAATAATTATCACTCTAATATACTACCCTTTTAATAACTCCATTTATGTTCTCTCTGGGCTTATATTCATATTGGGAAAATAGACAGGAGAATATTCAACAGACTTACGCCAAAATTTTGCATTAGAAATAGGGATATGTATTAAAGATCTTGATATTTAGAAAGGTATTAGGAGTAATGCATATATATAGATTTTTTTGTCTGTCCAGATTAGGATAGATTATCTCCTGCAGGTCTATGATTGAAGAAGGGAGAAAAAAATTCATAAAATTATTTTGTTGCACAAGCAAATTGGTAGTGTATCACTATTACATTATATATACATTTCACAAGCTTTAACGAGAATTAGGAATATGTTTATTTATACTTTAGCACCTTAATAGCTATCACATATGCTATTGGCAAGGCGCAGGTAAATATGGAGCTAATATAATACATTTCTCTATATAGAACTATTTTTTTATTTATGTATCTACTTTAATTGTAAAAAGAATTTTACGGTTTTTCCTTGCAGATGATATATTTTACAAATTAGCTCTATGTCTATAAAATTATATTGAATATGACATTAAAAAACATTTCTCAAAGACGCTCTTGGAATTCTTTATCTCTATACCACCAATTACTGTTAGGCAGAATATTAATATATAAATCGAGTTGCGCCAACATTTTCATTCTTACTAGTGTACTAATTAGACTTTTTTTAGTATCAAAATAATATTCGGGATTCTGTGCTCATTTTATTATAGTATACCAATTTAGTATATAACCTTTTTGTTGTAATGTTTTTCTAGCACGAGCAAAGAGCATCCAACCTAATCGATATAATAATTGATTTTTTTTCTCTTCCGCCCAAGTTATAGAAGAATAAAGAGTATAATTATATAGCATATTAAAATAATCAATTTTCCAGTTAAATTTTATGAGTTTCCATTAATATAATAATAAGCCTTACTACAAGGAATAATACTTAAATACTTCCACCTGTCAGAAGTATCATCATTTTTCACCACCTTCTAAACTTGTTTTGCCAAAGATATGAGTCTCTTTTTATAATTCCTGTAAGCTTGCTGGATAACTATTGCATAGAAATTTTCAAAACTATAATTATGGTATTTAGGAATCAAGAATCCCTATGATTGCTTCATTGAACTTCACTTCTCTTTTTCTCATATTCATACAAAAAAAATGTTGTAAATAAGTTATATATCAATAAAATAATAGTCTATATTTAAAACATTTCTCAAAATCAGTCAGTTGTCCCATTAAACAATCATAATTTTTATTCCATTTCTCAATCTTAACGTAATATCTTTTGGTTGATTAAGATGGTTTGTAAATGGTAACAAGTTATTTTGTTTTACATACTGAGACGAGATAAATATTTTGCTTATTATGTGTTTTTTTAGAAAACTTTTCAAATATTGATAAGGAGTTAGTGATAAAGAAGGGTGGGTTAATAAATAGGTCTTAGCTACGGAGTATGATTTATCTTTAGTCTCAGCCTTAAAATAAGAGCAATTCTAATGGTTCTTTATCAAATCTTCAGACTCAACTTCATAGGTCCATCTGCGCCATCCATCATAATAAACTTTTCTAGGCTTTACTTCAGCAATCTTCACCAATTTTCAGCATTTGAAACAGATAACTATCTGACTTTTATGAACATTAGGTCTATGATAGCCAAAGTAATCTTCATATAGCTCATCGTTAATGTAGTATGTTTTAGATTCTACTTGCCTGAATGAAGCGAAAAGGCTATACACATGATATAAACTATATTCTTGCTTAGAAAGTAATTTTTGTAAAGAATATCTTACATGATTAGACCATTGCTGAGGTGTTTCATGGGGTATAATGATAGATAAACTAGGAAACGGGATCCGTTCAAAATCCGAAGCATGGTATGGTATATAAATTATAATATCATATTTCACATGATTAATTATTTTGTAACACAAAAGACATAA